CCGCGGTAGCGCGGGACGCCATCGACGCCGATCTCGGTTTTGGGTGGGCAGCTGCAAAAAATGAGGTTAGCAGGGTGTATATGAGTATGAAAATATGAAGATGAAGGAGAGAGAGGGCGTGAATGGCCATGGAGACGGGCGGTACGGGAGGGGGGTGCACGAAAAAACGAGCGAGGCGGTAGAAACGGAGGAAGAGGCAGGCGACGGAAGGGGGCAGATAAATAGAAAGAGTATAGAAAACGGAGACGGCAATGGGGTATGTACAGACACAGCGGGAAGGGGCAAAGAGAAGGGTGAATGAGGAGGAGGGGACGAGCAAAGAACGAGGGCGGTACGAAGCAAAAGAGGAAGGAATGAGAGACGCGCCCCTGGCCAAATTCAGAGAAAAAAAAATGCGCGCGCGACGCGAATGGGAGCGGAGGGTGGGCGCACGCACAAGCGGATGTGACGGGGGGGGAGGTATATGCAGGCTGCAGGAGGAATCCGCACGGGGGGGATGATTGGGTTATTGATACAAAAATAAGGGGGCACGGAGAAGACGGGCGTGATGGGGGAAGTGGAAGGGAGGGAGGACGGGAGGAGGGAACAGAAGATGGGCACGGATGGGGGCGGAGGCCAAGAAGGGTGCGAGTGGAGGGATGGATGGGGAGTATGTATGTACGGACGATAGGAAGAGGGGGGGCAATACGAAAGCGATAAGGGAGGAAGGAAAGCAGCGAGGATGTAAGACCGTGCAGGCCCCGACATCGAGGGGGTGGAAGCGGGCAGGGACGGGCGTACGAGCGCGCGACATGGAGAGGGGTGGAAGTGCAAGTAAGAGCGGGGGGCAGAGACGAAGACGAAGAGGAGGCGTCGTGGAAGATATGTGGCAGAAAGCGAGGAAGACGGGAAGGGAAAGAAGACGGAGGAGGGTACGGGGAAGGAGGGCGGACGAGGAGGAAGGGCGGTGCGAAGGTGGGGAGGACGGCGGGAATGCGTGGAAGCGGAGAGGGTAGTGCGCGCGCGGGAGAGCAAGACATTGCGGAGGAGGGAGGAGAGCGAGTAGGGGAAGAAGGCGGGCGGGGCTGGAGGTGGACGAGGAGACGGAGACGACGATGAAGGATAAAGTGGGGCGGAGATGACTATACATAATGTGGTGCAAGATGAACGTGGTAGAGTCGCGAAGGGTGGGGCGCGGGGTGGTGGAGGCGAGGAGCAAGCACAAGAGGGGCGGGGCGGAAGTATGAGATGGGGGAGAAGGGAAGGAACAAAGAGGAGGGGCTATGAGTGATGGACGGCCAGGGAACGGCGTGGAAAAGGTGCGCCTAGAGGAATGCGCCCCCAACGCCACCCAGACCTAAAAGGTGCGCCAAAACCTAAAGGGTGTACGGGAGGGACATGGAGGGGTGGAAGACGAGCGAGAAACAGGAGGGGAAAGACGAGCGGGAGACAGGAAGGGAGAAGATGAGCGCGAGCGGGGGAAGAGAAAGGCGGAGTCGAGGAAAAAGTGGCGCGCGAGCCGAATGAAAAAAATGGATTTATTTGAAATTTTTATAAAACGAGAAATAGAGTGGGCACGAAAAGAGGTGGGGGAGGGAGGGGTGGGATGGTAGAGGCAAGTACGGGCGGGGGGGGTGGTAGGGATACGGAGGAGAAAGACGCTAGGGCGGGGTATGAAGAACCAAGCGGGCGGGACGAAAGTGGAAACGAAGCGCGAGAGCACGGAAGGCGAGAGCATCAAAGGACGCGCAAGGCACGAGCATGAGAATTCCCAGCAGGAAAGAAAGCAAGAGCACGAAAACGAAAATGAAAAAACCGCAAAGAAAAAGAAAAAGCCCTCTGCAACTCACCGAAAATTCCCCCTCTCGAGCAGTGCGGGCGCGATGTCGAGGCTCGCAAGCTCGGGGAGCGACGACGGCGCGCGCAGGCGGCCGGACTCGACGTCCGCGATCTTGTAGTAGGAGATGAGGTGCTGCGTGACGTTGGCGGTGGTGAGGGAGAATGTCTGCGGGTTGGTGGTTAGCTGTGCGAAGAAAAATAGATATTGAAAATAGGGAGGGATGGATGGCAGGATGGAAGAAAACCGTCAGACGTGGGGTGGATGGGAAGGGAAAAGAGGCATCCCTAGTCACGCGCGCGCAAGAGCTCGCAAGCTGCTCCCGGTCTAGACGTGGAGGACGAGGGTGGCAGGGCGCGCAACGCAGAGTAGCCCAAGACGACGCCGCCGGACAGACACAACGCGGGACCACGAGTCGCCAGATAGTAGAGTAGCAGTCGTCCTCTTACCTTCTTCATAAGCCCGTCCTGCTTGAACTTGTAGCTGTTTGTCAAGCTGCCCACAAGCGTTCTCTCGCGGTGCCGATCCACGCCCAGCGCGCCCTCCCCACCGCCGCCCCCTCGCGGCCGACTTAGTCCCGCGCTCCCACCTTCGCCCGCGTCGGCCTTACTCCCGCCCTCCCCCTCTCCCGCACCCGCACCCTTCCCCTCCGCACCCCGCCCCCCTGCCCCCCTTCGATCCGTCTCCCGATACAGCAAAAAGTTGCCCAATATCCGCGACGGGCTCCAAAAGAACCCGTCCGTCCACCTTTTAATCCCGCTCTCGTCCTCATCAAACACAAACACAGATCCCGAGCAGATCATCCTGCGCTCGGCGTCGACGAGGCGGCGGGTGACGCGCGGGATGAGGCCGCGGCGCGCAGCCTCGAGGATGAGCAGCGCGTCGCCAGTGGTCGCGATCCACCCGCTCCACGGAGGCTCCGTCCACGCAGGCGTCGACATGCCAAACGGTTGCTAGGCGCGCCGACATCGTGATTAGCACAGAATAGAATAGAGTTTGATTCCGTGCGACTCACAGTCAGTCAAGATTGCAACTCCGATTCCGCCTCCGACTTGGCTTGCGGTAAGCGTTGTAAAGTGAATTATCTCCTCCCGGCCCTACTATGGCCAATGCGTTCCAGATCGTCTGCCCTGACTTCGGTCGCCGCCGTCGTATGTGGAGGAGCGGGGGTGCCAGCGCAAAGCCAATCAAGGTTTGGTCCTGGCGGGATTATGTCAGCTCCGCCGGCTTGCCTCCGCCCACCGTCCCCGTCGGCTTACTTGTTTATTGCGCGGACTCAACGCGGACTCGCATGTTTCTCCACTGACAGCTACTGCCAGTATGGACTGGCAGCTCCGGCTCTTTGCGGCTCTACTACCGTGTGGCTATCCCCTATCACCAAATGGCAATAAACCCAAATATTCACGAACCAACCCAAATCCCCGGTTTATACGAACGACGACCTAATAGCGAATTGCCATCGCATCCACTGCACCTTGGTCTACACCAATGGTGTTTATGTGGAAGTCCCTCGTTTGAATCGAGGTTGGATCCATTCCTCAACGCTTTTTTTTTATTCAACCACGCAAAAATCATGAAATAATTTCGCAGTAACCCGGCCTCAGAATTACAGGAGGAAGACCTGATAGCGAAAATGGTGTCGCATTCACTGTACTAAAGTTGGGATGTTCTCATCATGCGGAAGTATGTAGAGGTCCCTCGTTCGGTCGAATTGAGGTTAGGTCCTTCCGCCACCTGTTGGTTTTTTTTCACCCATCGCAGAAGTGCTGAAATATTTTGCATCATCAAGATTCAGTACAAGACCTATAGCGAAGCTGGCAACACATCCACCGTACCTGGCCCATATAGTATCATTACTGTCGTCTGAAACGCGGTTAGGTCATTCTTCCTGTCAGCCGAATCTTTTTCATTCAACCCACCCAAAAAGCCCGAGACAATCGCGCACCAACCCCGAGTTCCAAATGATAGGAGCAAGACCTAATAGTGAAATTGGCATCACGTCCACTGAACTTGACCACGGGCTAATAGGTTATGTGGAAGGCCCTCGTTCGAACCGAGGTTAGGTTGTATGTCGTCAAGATCTTTTCTTTCTTTCTTTTTCACTCAACACAGCCAAAAGCCTTAAATAATCACACACTTATCCAAGGGCAAGCAAATGGGAGGAAGACCTAATAGCGAACTTGGCATCGCATCCACTATTGTTAACAGGCAGATCCAGTGTTGATACGTGGAAGGCCCTCATTCGAACCGAGCTTAGGTCCTAGCATGCCACCGAACTCTTTTTATCATCCCACCAAGTGCTGGAAAAAAATACAGCAGTAAACCAGGTGCAGAATAGCACCAGAAAACCTATCCCTCATTCGAATCGAGGTTAGGTCATGGAAGAGTTCTGACATCCCTTTTGATTCAACCCTAGTCTCTCGTAGACAGACGCTTTAACAATGACGCTCGTACCTCGTTTGTTAAATTCAACCCACACAAAAGTGCGAAATAATTCCGCACTACTTTAGGTTTGATTAGTGGGTAGGAAGACCTAATAGCGAAATCAGCATCGCGTCCACTCCACTTACAGGTGAACATTTTATCACGTGGACTTCCCTCGTTCGGATCGAGGCAAGGTCATGGCCCAGAAGAGATCAGCTTTTTGACAAAAAACTTCTGCCTTTTTGGCCTTGTGAGCTTGTTGACAAGTACAACAAGGTCAAAAGCATGAAAAATGAAAAAAAAAAATACGCCGCTACAAAATGTTGAATGCGATCCAGAACAATTTTTGAAAAACAAAATTTAGGGGAAGTATTTTGTGGAAATTTCGACAAACCTTGTGGATTGTGAGCTTGTTGACCTTGTTCGGCCTCGTTAGGTCCTACTTGTGGCTGTGAGGGGAGCTTTATGCCCTTGTTTGACCTTGTAAAAGGGCCACAAGGTCACAAGTTTTCGTCAAAAGTCTGATGGATTTGTCTTTTTTTTCCCCACACAAAAATTCCAAAAACAAGCACACACCTATCCAAAGGCAGGTAAAGCAGAGGAAGACTGGATAACGAAATCGGCACCCTCTGCTTGGCGAATTACCGCTGTGCGGAATTGAGGTTGGGTCATGGCCGACGTCTTCCGTTCTTTTTTATCCACCCCACACTAATACCCGAAACAATCACACACCTATCCAAGGGCAAATAAAAGGAAGGAAGACCTAATAGCGAAATATGGCATCGCATCCACTCCCAATACACAAGCACATGCACTGTTGACCATGTGCAAGCCCCTCGTTCGAATCGAGGTTAGGTCTTTGAGGGGTGCAATCTCTTTTTTCACCTCTTACCAAAAGAAATCTTGCTATAACGTGGTGCAGAAATATAGGAACAAGACCTAACACCGAAAATGGCATCGTGCCCACAGTCCACTGTCATTGAAAGAAATCGCGGGCCGTTGTGGGAGTCCCTCGTTTGGCCCGAGGTCAGGTCAGCTGCTCGACCTTTTTTCTGTCTTCTCCTTCAAATGTTTCCAGTGAGACCTAAAAAGTAATGAGATATCGAAAACGGTACCGCATCCCCGCTTGGTTCAAGTGCGCCGAGATATACCTTTATGGAAGTCCCTCGTTCAACCCGAGCTTAAGTCGTGAGTGCCTCGTCGAAATCATTCTATTTTTCAACCCACCGAAAAGCCTGAAATAAGTCCGCACCGTTAAGTGTAGGGCATGTGGAATTCCCTCGTTCGAACCAAGGTTAGGTCATTGTCCATGTCTCACATGTCATATTTTCCTTCACCCTCAAGATTTTCGGTAATTAATGTGAGGGAAGAAAGGCGGAAGACCTAGTCCACGGGGAATAGACACCAGCGGACACGGGTGGAAGTTTCCGGATCTTACTAAAAGAAAAGTGAGCTCTGGCGAGGGTGGACGGGTCTTTCCGATGAATTTGGCAAATCAATTGTTTTTGAACTCGTAAAGTTGAAAATATTGAATTGGATTGTTGTCCCTTGGACAGAAAAAAAGATTCCTAGATGAACCCAGGCTCGGGCTCGAGTTATTTGAGTTATTTGAGAGTAAGTTAAACTGGTATCACTGCATCCATGGCGCATCTCCTCATTGGAGGGCAGAAGCTCCCAGTTCACTTTGGGGGTGGGCCATGTTGATACCGTTTGAATTTTTTATGGTCCGACATTCGTTTAAAAGTTGTAACAATAGTGGTGGGGAGGGTCTACTGATGAAATTGTGTCACTCTTGATCTTAGAAAAAAATTGGAAACAAAACTCCGCATCGTAGTCGAAGATTTACTAGACAAACACATCCAGGTGAAAGTAGTATCACATACGCCTTAAAGCTAAATCAAATTTGTGTGTCAGGAATGAGATGCGCCGCGCCGCGCAAGTTTCAATTATTTCATCTTGAGGAAGTATCCCGATCCGCAGAAAGATACAGAACCCACAGTCAGCATGAACTTGACAAATGTTATGAGGCAAGGAACTCAGAGCAAGAGAATACAGAGTTGTAATGTACCAGTGTGTCGCCAGAAGGCATCCAAATAATGTATAATGCGGCCTATAGAAGAAAATCTTCGCCGGAAACAATATCACATGATGAAATTCAGGTTCTGCTCAGTGCAGGCGGTAAATACGGCCCGCCGTGCGCGTGGCAATGACATTACGGCACCAGGAATGAAAGCGCCGGAAAACCGGGATGAGCCGGGGTTCAATAAGCGTGCAGGGGCTCTGGAAATACGCGCAGAGGATATTAGACAATGGGAAAGCACGGGGACGCGTTGCTTGGATCGAGGCCGGGACCCAAACTGATGCGCAACACGTGCGATCTCAAACACACGGCCCGCCGCGCGCGTCATCACGGCGCCACGAATGAAAGTGCCGGAAAATACGCGCAGAGGACACTAGATAATAGGATCCGGGAAGAAAGCACGAGGACGCGTTGTTTGGATCGAAGCCAGGACCCAAACTGATGCGCAACACGTGGGATACATAACCGATAGATACCAAACCAATACCAAACACAAGTGCATCGCCTCCTGCCACTCTCTCTGTTGCCACGACCTTCTGAAGAATAAGTCCAGGTAGGAGCTCAATTAGTTGCTCTACTGAGCTCTAAGCTCTTCACAGGACATTCATATTCAGTACCCATGACCGACCCTCATCATCTTGACTCTCTGCTTTCCGAGTCTGATACGACGCCAAGTCAGAATCGAAGCGCGAACGGGAGATCCACCTGGTCAGGTATTCGGGAACGCACGACCGACTTGGACGCCCAGTTCTTGGCACTGGAGCAAGCTCCCGACGTTGTCAGGTTGGAGCAGCAGGTCCTGCAGACACATCTCGACGCGTACAAATACCCCATCCTTACCCTTCCCACTGAAATCACCTCTGAAATATTTGTCCACTTCCTTCCACCTTATCCCGAGCGCCCACCAGCCATTGGACTCTCCTCACCGCACATACTGGGCCAGATTTGCCGGACATGGCGCGAAATAGCGCTCAGCACGCCGCGACTCTGGCGAGCCATTGAATTGAGTCTTTCGACAAAGTATTTGGCCATGGCGCTGGATTTACTCAGAACTTGGGTATCACGCTCCAAAAATTGCCCGCTATCGATTTTCCTGTCCTCCTACAGTGGGATGGTCATAGTTGATTTCATCCAAGCCATCATACCTCACTCCGAGCGCTGGGAATACATCGACCTCAAGCTACCCATTGAAGTGTTTCAATTAATTGGAGCGGACTTCTCCTTACTCTGTTCCTTGACTTTGGGCCCCACCGAGTACACGGGATTCCGAGAGACCGACTCACTAGATGCAATATCGCCGTTCAATAATGCACCGCTTTTAACGCAGGTCACCCTTTTCAGCAACTTTAGGCCCGCCGAAATTCAGCTGCCGTGGTCGCAGTTAACAAGCATTTCCGCCGAGTTTCTGACTTCAACTGAATGCACCGAAATATTGCAGCATTCCGCTGCCCTTCGGGAATTTCGCTGCGACTATGTTGTAGATGACACTGGGAACCGGTTGCCCATGGCGCCTCTGAGGCACCTGCACTCGCTGAAACTCGGAGACGGCGTTGGTCAGGGGGAGCTCCTGGAAGCACTCACCACTCCCGCTCTCCGACATCTTACGATCCCGGACAGCGAGGCTGACGCTATTCCCAACGTCACTGCGCTCATTTTACGGTCTCACTGTACTTTGGCATCTTTGCGTATCCTTTATACGCACAAAGAAGAAGCGACCTATCGTGCAGCATTTCCTTCCGTTCCCATCATTACTGTTGCAATCAGAAGTCTACTATCACCTTGAAGCTTGCCAAGGTTCCCTTCCGTCGAAATTAGAGAATAAAAAACTGCCAGTAGCAAATATTGTTGTAGATCTTAGAAAATCTATCAGTAACGAGACCCCTCTGTCCCGAAGATGTACCGCGAAGAAAACTGTCGATGTCAAGCCGATTTTCTGGTATTGTTCCAGACGAGATCTCCCAGTTCGCGAACTTCGAATATTAACATTGTTTTATGCCAATAGACAGGAGCGGAGTCCAAATGGATGTCTGTATGGCGACGGAGGGGAAGAAAATTAAACACGTCAATTTGCATGCCAGACCATCGAAGAAACGGCTCTCAGTGGATGCGGAAAGAAGACGATGCATCAACAATCCACGGAGCGGTTGGCGCGCGGATCCTGCATTTTGAACTCTGACCCTTGCGAAACCAACCCTATAAATTCGACCAACCGAAATACGGTGTACCCGCGGAGCGCTCTGACTTTTTGCGACAATTGCGACAGAAAATGTACCGCAAAATCTAAGTATGCGCGAGGACTCCGGATGTTTCACGCGTGAAGCAACAGCGTCGCCGGGACCAATAGCATCGAGGAGGGAGCCAGAAATTAGAATACACAAAAGATACAGTATGGGCCAAAATATGGTTAGTATAATTCAACACATAACGCGAGCCTTTGAACGGAGAAAGTGCCTTGACTCCTTTGAGGTAGACTGAAGCGATAGTGGACCGGCTCGCGCAGAAATACACGAACCGGATTTCGAAAGCGGAAGATTAGAAGCGAGAGGTCAATTAAGTTGCCGATTGCATGTGGGAGACAAGTATGAACAGTCTTCCTTGAGTTTTCCCCTGAGCCGAGCCAATAATGTGCGTTAGTGACTGGTAGCTTCCATACAAATTAAGCTGGAAGCTGGAAGCATGATCCATCTTGGTAGACATCCAGAGCATAAAGATGTCTGATCAGAGAAATCTTAGGCTGGCCATAGGTGAAACCAAGGCATTGACATGGCAAGCCGCACATAGAATTCGGTGTCAACAAGAACGTGGACAGTCTTATGAGGCTAACTTAAGAATTTCCAATTCAGCCTTGTAATGTCCAAGTGTGTCAGAGGATCGAATCCGCTGGGGTAGCCTAGGCTCCAGAGAATTGATGGGATTTCCAGAGCGCCGGAGTTTCCGGCTCTCGCGTAGAATAATCCGGCCCCGATGGTCTCGTAACTGCCGTTGGGTTGCGTAAGTGGTTCACCTGCTCCGACGCCGCCCCGACTGTTCTGGCTCGCAGCTCGCTCATTCACCTCGCCCGCATCGGGACACTCAACGCCAGGATCCCCTTGTGTCTTTAGTCGCGCCTTTCTTATGGGATGTTCCACCCGGAAAAAGCAGAGGGAAAATAAAAATTCCCGCTCCTGTATGCCTCCGATGACTCGAACCACTCCTCCCATTGATAGCTCGTGCGCGTGATTAATCGATTATCAATTAAACGGTATGGGGATTACACCATTAGTCAGCGAAGGCTTTCTGCGTTTGCTATGGGGTTGAGATGTAGGTAGTAATAAACTCGCTTCACAACTACAAACATCATAATGTTGTGGTGATTCACTTTGCTTCACCCGCTGAACGCGTACGCAGTGCATTTCCCACTCAAAATTAAAGGTGGAGGCGGAAAGTCAACCGTTCATGTCTCTCTTATGTAATTTATAGATTTGCCTTTTGCTTTAATCCCCCCTTCGCGAATGGACTCAATAGAGTTCGATAAAAGACCATACAGACAGCCAAATGGAGAGACGAGGCATCAGAGGAAGAGTTGAACGTCATCACAATTAAACCCAGCGTCTGAGAGACATGGATCACGGAAAGAAGATGGAAAGGTACTAGATACGAGGTCAGCCTGCGCAGAACTACTAGATGGAACGAAGCATACCACTTGCTGGACGGAAGCGCCGCTGTAAAACGCGGAGTAGGTGGCGGGATTGGGAGTCGCCAGGACTAGAAGAGAGAGAGAGGTTAGACAGGCCGCGTTG